GAACCGCCAACTATGAATTGTTAGTTATATCAAAGTGATGCGCTGATTCTTTTGGGATTAATTCAACTCTTCTAGGAAAAAAAGGCAGCGAGTTTTTACTATTGAATTTCCCTGTTCAAATGGTAGTTAAGTATAGAAAGTTGTAAGTAATCCATATTTCATTTCCTGTCCAATGAATACAACGCAAGCATCTTTTAGCTAAGGTAGCTATGAATAGTATTCCATTAAAAAAAATAAGATGATACAAGTAAATATACGTGAGATATTTGAAAATATGTTTTAATAACATTACTAATGCTTTCTACCATGATATAATTTCATCTATCAGAGTATTCTCCCTACTAAGATATTGAAAAAAATCGATTTTAAAAAGTCATTAGTAAATTCACTTTACTCTTTCTCATCTGATGGAATAATTCATGATCCATAATACCTAACGAATAGCAAGAATATTATTACTGGCATTGTTGACAGAATTAGAATGAAAACCATTGTTTCCAATACGCATTCTTCGCCCTGAAAATAATAACATAAATCCTTATTTAAAACGATCCAGCCAATCTTTATCATATAGAAGCTTTATTGGCTATTCCAAAGGAGATGGGAATCCGCAGCTGATTGGCTCAACGAGACAATATTAAAGATTTCTATGCTTTAAGGCAACACATTCATTAACTTTGCTTTTAAACGCGAATGCTTATGGAGAAACTAATCATTGTTGCTTCAAAGCATTACAGCTTGTATTAGATGCAATGGATAAAGCCACATTAAAAAATTATCTCAGGAAATCTGTACATTCATGAAATGCCAAAATGCATAAAGATTACATTTCACGGACTCTTTGTGTTCTCTTGTGCTTACCGATCTCAAGTAAAGATGACAACAAGCCAACGTTTGTTAAGCTTTGGAATAGAACATCTTCTACTATGGGCACTTCTGCCCGTCCATAGCTCTATGTTTCTTTGATATAACTAACACCTTTGTCGCAATGAGGTTGGACTTTGGCTTAGTACTACTCTCCTTGGTCGAACATGTAACGACTTCAGCGTTATGGTCAGATCGCAATCCTCCTGAGCAACACAATAACACTGGAAATCAGGCAAATCTGAGCGTAGCAACTCAGTCAAGTGGGAAAAGACAAGCTCGTTCATTTAATTCAGTTCGATTTTTTGAGCCCTCCATAGCCTTCCCAACTTGCTTGGTACACGATGGAACTGAGCCAGGAATGGCTCTGATAAACGAAGTCTCAGGCGAGCCGTGTAGCCTTCTAGGCAGCCTGCAAAGATTACTTCAGCCAAATGAGGATGTCTATCTCCCTCTTACTGGAGTAAACAAAGCAAATCACATCTTTACTGGAGCTGTGGTACGCCTTATATCTACTGGCAACCCCCTTGCTAACCTCTTTCTCGTGGACCCAACCAACTTTACGGTGGTGACACAGCAGGCTGTTGATCGAGAAGCAATTTGTACTAGACCAGGGCTACCACAACAAACTGTCGATTGCTGTGCCGCTAGTCGTATGGAATGCAATCTTCCAATGACTTTGTTGGTTCGCTTAGAGTCAAATGGCCGTGGCAAGCCTAGGAACCGGAAGGATG